GTATTTGTGACAATTTACGGTCAGTTACGAACAATTCTATTCAGAATGCACCACAATAGCCGTTTTATGTAATTTCGTGATATTTGTAATATATGATATATTAACCATCGGATTGTTATCAAATGATCTCTTCGTTTCAAAGCGAATGCTTCTTTCATTCATTTTGCTTCATTTGTGATGCTTTGTCATTATTTTCTATTACGTGAAATGTTTGTTACTGCGTTCATTTATCTGTCTAAATCAGTTTACATGAACGATTTGATCAGACCACTTAAAGATTAATTTGACTGGTTATTTGTTGTGGTGTTTATTGTTTAAATGCTTTATACATATGCTACATAATTTTTGTTTTAGCAAATTGTAATACATTTTAGCTGTAATTTCGTTCAATGGCTGATTTGGACTAATCATAATGACATTGCTGATGAAAATTCAAATAAAAATCTGTATTAGAAAACGATGCAAGATAATATGCTCATCTCAGTGAAAGAGATAATATGATGTGGTGATGTAACGAAGAAGCTTTTTGCGAATCACGAAACTGAGCTTCGACTAAACTATGAGAACGGTTCGAATTTTACCTTAATTCATCGACCTTGGTCAACGAGTAACCACAGTGAACAACTCCTACATGCAGTTCTTACGCTGCACTTCTTCGCCACTCGAACAGTAATAATATTAATTAATATTAATAATAACAAGGAAAGTAACAATCGTAACACCGAATAATACTCGTATTGATAATTTTAAAGATGATAGTTATAACTAATGGTATTATTGTTATGGTATTATTAATATGGCTCCTGTTCATAATGACCAATGCAGTGTAACGGTTAATAATATGCAGATGTTGATGCTTGAATAACTCACGTTGTTGTTATGTGTCAACAGTCTATTTTGTTTGTTTCATTTTTAACCTTATTGTCAAAATCAAACTTCTTTTTATATCTGTTTATCAGTGTGTTGAACAAACAAATTGATAACCTCATTCCTTAAATACTGATCATCTTTTTTGATGTATCATCCAAATTAACGTAATTGGTGTTCGTAATTCCATTTCATTGTTGTAGTGCTCTTGACTTATCAAATATTACTCTACAACATACGACTAAACTTCAAACTATTCGGTTCAGTATAATTCACATTCTTTTCTCCACTCATTCATTCATTTATCGGTGTGCAAATGGGTTTGACTTTCTAACTCTATAAACACCGACGGCGTACATTCTTCACTAGTTCTATCAATTATTTGGGCATCGTATCAGTGCGGTTAATTGTCGTTTAATTATCACTAATCTCATTTTATAACTTACTCCTATTAATAATTCACAACTCTGTATAAAATGCTCATTTGATTTCTTGCTGTTTTCATTTTCATATACCATCAAGTGACTGACCCATGTACTCTCTTGATTCATTCGTTTTATTTGATTTTCTCAAACCAGCAGTTTTATCCACATTCTTTTAACGATATTTCTTTTGGTTACTAACATTCTGACACTGCTTTTGAATATTTCTACTACGAATGGTTTACACCGCTGGCAAAGCGATTGTGCCAAGTTGAAGCGTTTTTCAAATAATTTGATCCGTAATTCATAAATGTTTATTCACTAATTGCTCACTAATCTATTGATTTTACCACATTATGACCTTTAAACAGCCATTCACAGTTGTTTGAATAACTTCATTTTGTGAACGTCGGTTATGCTTCAATCATAATTCATTTTGAAGATTTCTTTGCTACTCAACTTCAAAGTGTTCTTCAATTCAGGTGCGATGCTCTGTAACCAACGTCGTGTATTGGGTCAGTCAAGAGAGCATCCTTATGCTGCTGGCAAAAGTTCGTCTTCATAAACACACCAACATCAAAGGTCGCTTACGTCTTCTCGATAGTTTTGTTCTCTTCACTTTCCATTTCGTTCATGCTCATCATTATCGTATTTTTTGACGGTTGACATCCCCAGATGCTCACACACAAATTTTATGAGCCGATAATCCATGTGAATTCCGCTTCCCTTAACTATTTGCTGCATATTCAATTAATCGTTCGTCTAGGTTGTGGAACAATGTATTCGATAATCATCACAACCATCCATCGTCACCAAAACAAAACCTTCATTTGCAAGTTAACGGCATCCCGCATAATTGATGTAAATAGCAAGGCATGCATAATAACCATCTCCTGAATCGCATAATCATACATGTCTTCTTCCTGCGAATAATTTTTACAATTCAAGACAGTGTTCTGCCATTTGTGTCCTATTATACTTAAGTGCACATTTCATACACAACTATGTTGTTTGACTGAACTTTATGCTAAATCGAGTAATGTGTGGTGATATTTTTCTTACAATCATGCATTTTTCGAATGAAACAATGATTGCAAGTAGTGAATTAGAAATATGGTATTATTTTGTTACGGTATTGTGTATGAATGTGCTACTGCTAGTTGTTTTTATCCACCGTGTCGTGTTGTTTTCCGAGTTTGAAATGGGTTCTTCAGTTTGTCCAAGTCATAATGTAGGACACGCATACTTTCATATTGCATCATATTCTTTTTGTTTACAATATTTCTCGCTTCTCTTGTATTTATTTCCTCAAACTATTTAAATTAGTCCACTATTTTAATGCCTCATTAATTTGCATATTTCTATGTTTTGTATATATCGATTGCGTATGTTAGTTTGTGTATACGATTCAAGAAAATCATAGAATTTTTATGGAGAGTTTTATTTAATTCGAAAGAAGTGAAGGTGTTCGTTGATTTTTGTTATATGTTCAAAGTTTTATTGTAATCCTTCTTTGTATTATTTTGCCTTATTTTCTCAAATACTATTATTGTTATCGTTATTTTTATCAGTTATTTCTTTTTTATTTCCAACTTAAGCGTATTAAATGTCCACGGACAATGTTAAATGCTAGTCGATGGCTGTATAATTTTCCTTGAATTTGAAGGGGAAATCGTCTGTTCGTCGTTTCTCCTCGTCATTCATCAAGTTTGACTTATTTTTTTCATTCTTCAAATCTTTTTTGATTGCTTAATCGTTTTTTGTCGATCAAATATGTGTTATGTTTGTATGCGTACTCCTCTTAAACCAACCTTCTATTTAATTATGTTGAATTTCCTATTTTTCTTTACATTTATAGAACAGTAATCTTGATTTTAAGCTATTTATAAAAAATAATGAATTATATGTATATGAACAAAGGTTTCTTCGGTTTAAATCTGCCTTATAAGCTAACTATGATGAATTTTTATTTGTGCATATGTCATGATGGCCTTAGCTGTTGATGTTATTACTAATGAATATTTATTACCTTAACTTATTATTGTTTAGTTATGAGCATCACATTTAACAAACCTGTGTGATATTATTATTGGCGTATGCATTCGTACGCATTATTCGTTTGTGCTCTGTTTTGTTTTGTTTCTTAATGCGTTCGTTTTCACCTCCCATCTGTTTGTGTGCCTTTTCGCATTGTTTGAACGCCTTATACTTAATTAATTATTTTATTTTTGTTATCACTAACGTGCAGCATAATTTTGATTGATTTTTCTCAAGGTTGCATTCATAAATTTCTTTATTTTTCGAGTGTTCATTCAATTTGTAATGCTTTCGCATTTTGCTGGGATCACTCTATTTCAATGCACGCGGTTAGATTTTGGAAATTTTTGACAACTCGTTTTGTTTTATAATATTTTTCTGAACTTTCTTTTTATATTTTGAAAACTGATGAACGAACTTAAATGAATATCATTAGTCGAGAAGAAGAAGCATTACGATTCTTGTTATCTGTTCCGAAAGGCATTTCTTCGCTCATAGGTTATGTTTGTGAGCATAGATTTGATAAAACCACCAATTACAATATGGGAAATATTTCATTTGTTGCCGTCAAAGATGAAGGCGCCTCACTGGAGATGAGTAAAACTCGCTTCTTTTCGAGAAGAATGAATTATTGCAATTGNTTCCATTCGAAATTATCTTAATTGCTATGTCACGAATTGTGAGCTTGTTCATACTGCTACTATTCTATAGTTTCTGATAGGTTCGAATGCGACTTATGAAATGAATCGTTCTGTTGTCGCCATCTTAAAGTTTAGCTTACGTATTTCTGAAGAATTTGTTGTTCTCTCTGCCTCTGCATTCTTTTCACTGAAAAGTGCCCCTCAACTGTTAAATGGAGTGAAAGCATAGAGGAGAGTGAGATGAGAGAATCTTTCGGATTTGAAAGAAATTTTGTTCATTTTTAACGTTATGACCTCTGAACTAAGAGAATGCTAGAAATTCAATGGTTGTTTTGAGTTTTTTGTTAAATCGAAGTTAAGTTGTACGGATAAGCATAATCAGATTCTTCGTTCTGAATGAATACTTGCGAAAGTTTGGTCGTAATTGATCAACAATTCAAATAGAGCGTGTGTTCAGTTGTTAAACTTTAGTATTGCATGATCAACATCAACGATATTTTATTGATTATGCGATTGCGAGATGTTGAATTGACCGCTTACAGCACAGTATTATTGTTATCAGTTTGGTATTATTAATAAGCATCAGTTTTTCAGTTGGTATGTTCATTACCTTAAATAACACAAATAAATGTGACTCATTATTGCTCGTTCGTTTCAGCATTGAGAAATTTTATAAGTTGTACTCACTCATTAATATACAATCCTCTAGTGAACATAATAACGGTCGAATAAAATCGAGATTCTCATTTTCGTGCAAACATTTTGAATTTGAAATTGTTGCCTTAAAACAACGATGAATCAACCGATCAGTAGATGTTTCTCATGCAGCTTTGGCATATGGCATATGAGCACCCAAACGAACAATGTTGCATGTGTGCTTTTTCAAAAAGGTTTTTTTTGCACAAAAAACGGCATACATCAATCGTACTCTTCCAACAGGAGTGCACGTCATCGGAATGATTCGGTTAACACATCCACAAAGGTGACTACTGCATATGGAACGTTATTACCGAACAAGGGTCTGTTGTCATCATCAAGGTTCGTATAGCTCACAAATAGCTTTGTATGCAACAAACTTGAATTTCAGAAAGTTTATATGAAGTGTAATCAGAGCTCTTCGAGCAGAGATAACGCAATAAGCGTGCGTTACGGTGTGATCATTCAATGATTCTGGGTTTAATGCGAACAAAGAAGTGGACATTTTCAGTGCAGAAAGAAAAAGCGTTGTTGAAATTCAGTTGATTGCATTGCTCGTAGAAGATTTTCTGAAGGTAAGATTGACGATCATTTTTAGAACTTCAATGTTCTCGTGATGATGATGCATTTCACATTTTGTTTTTGGCAAGCATTCCAACTGTTGTTTACGTTGACAGAATTAGCTTCCGATCGGAAGCGAAAACAGACGATGGACCAGTTTCGGTTGCTCATTGCTACAGTATCATCGTAGAACAACCTCTAATCCATATAACAGCATGCCAGAGTTTTGTGATGTGTAAACATTGCTTTGTAGCCATTAGTGCGGCATTGATGAAATCACACTTCAATACAAAACAATGTTTGAAAAACGAACCAATCCATTTCAGTTTCTTGATAATCTGATAGTTATTGACGGTGACATGATAAGCTCGTTCACTCTATTAAATTCTACTAAAATCATCAATAGACATGCAAGTTACTTTTTTTGCTTTTTTCACTGAGATCAAAGCTACAGGTTCGATCCTTGAAAAGGTCAAATTCGAATTTTGATGAAACTCCCTAAAAAACTGAACGATTATAAGCACGACCATTGACTTGAAAACTCATTTTGAACGATATTGATTTTACTACTTCGTATGAAGCATTCATCCTACGGAGCAGTTTGTCAGTGTGTTCGTAATAATCATCATTATTATCAGAGAAACATTTATCGTTATCGGTACTCTCAGTGCATTCATTATGTGAGCGCGAATAATATTAATGTCTCACTAGAAATTCATTCGTGACATTTTTTATTGTGTGTCATATACTACCGAAATATTCGAGTGGAACCAAATTTTCTAGTGTTTTTCATCACTCAATTCATTTACTGCTTGATGCTTTCTTCTATGAAGTGAATGTGTCTTGGTTATCATAAATTGTTACTGATATGTTCTATAACGAAAGGAACTTGTAGATCAAAAAATACACTATTGAATTAGCATGCCAATAAAAGTATTCTTCTTCATTTGTTTGTTGAAATTTCTTTTTCGTTCCCTTGTTATTTGTTTTCATTGAATTAACTGGTTCGCAACCATTGAGCGAAACGCAATTTTTTAAAAGTCCATAAGATTTGAAAATCCACATCATAATGAAAATGCTGATTATTGTTGAACTGTAACTGGGGAGAGATAGGAAAAGGGAAGATCGTCGTATTCACATCTATCAACACTTTACGTCCAGTTACAGTGAGTGTTTTCAACAGAACTGTCAAACGACTTGAAATGAACTCTCTTTATTGAATAGCACTGAAAGGCAAGCAATGAATCACAGTCGTTGTTGGATCAACGCGTTTCATTAACCTTTATCATGCACTTCGCCGAGTATATTCTGATGGATGAGCATTGGTGGAGGTATGGTTATTGATTTCAAATGCGTTCTGAAAAATGGTTTATTCGACCTCTAGTCTTTTCTCCATTCACTGGTGTATTCGTATCAGCTTCCACCTGTTTGATCATTCCGTTCGTCTCAAAAATTTTTATAAATTACGTTTTTTATAATAGTTACAAAATTTTCGGTAATAACCTCTCACTGACAATGAGAGGTGTTTAGGAATTTTTTTNTTTTTTTGTGAAAGCTGTTTCCAACGGCAACGACATTCATCATTCGGTCGACTAAAAAGATTCGGTTAAGCAGAGTTTTGATTGGTACTGCTATAAAATTCTGTTGAATCGTCTATAAGCTGACTTACTTTGAATCGGTAGGTGGGATGCACTTAACTAGCGTTTCTTTGATCTCATATGTTTTCGCTGATAAACCATTCATTTTTTCCACTTCTTCAAACTCACGCCAATTTCTTTCTCGAAATTCCTTCCATAAGCAGCGCACCACATCCAATACCACCAGCTCTCCGGCATGATTCGCCATGAGGCGCAAGGTGAATATCTCAACATTTTATATTTCATGTCTCATTTTTCACCATCCACAAAATATTGCTTTTACAAAAGAAAACAAAAAATCTAACTTATACGAAATTCTTCAAATGAGTACGCAAAAGTAAACTGCGGTGAATGGGTGTCCAATTAACTTATAAGCTAACTTATAAGCAAATCAGAATTGAAAATACGAATAGTTCATAAACTCTGAGAACATTGTTAAATGGTGAAATGATCATCTACTGAAGGGTGTTAAACTTACACCATCAGATTTGAGGAAATTGATGACGAATTTATCGACGAGATGTGGAGCGATTGTAATGATTGCAAACGGTCCTCTCAAGTACGCACCACGAAGCTTGCCTTCTTTGTTGCGTTCCACTGTCTCAGCTATCGTCATGAATCGTGATATATAATCGATTTTTTCACTAATGAATATGAAACTCAATATCCAAAAAATGGTGGAGCAACTGCAAACGCGTTAAATCTTGCTTATTCTTGGAAGAAATACACTCGCGATGTCTTATGTAAATCATCAAATGTACCTAGTGACAATCATCAACAAGAGATACCAGCACCAGAAAAAAGCGAACACCTTCTCGTTGATTATATTGATGAGCAGTGCACACTGCACAGTATATCTGCAATTGTTGTTTTCATGCACATAAGACACACGGATGAACATTTCAAAATTGACGATCGTTTTTATGCAATTTTCCTCCGACGCTTCAAATTCAACTCAGAACGTAAATAACAACTACTTGGGTCTATGTGAATCGAAGCAATGCTATGCGGAAGTGAATAAAAAAACTTCATTTCGTTTGAAGTAATGAAAAAAACAGTACTTATAATATAAGCTTGGAACACCACTGCAAAAGAATGAATATTCCTGGCTGTACCCCATTTAAAAAAATAGAACTTCTGGGAAAAGGATGCATACGACACTTCGAAAAGTTCATTAGATTAAGGAGCTGCACAAACCTGTTGAGATTGGCAAGATAACGTACTTCAAAGTCACAAAGAGTAACTCTAGGAAAATGTCCTGATTCAGTCCATGGTTTCCCACACAGAAGATCCGATAAGACCTTAAATTTTCAAAGTTCCAAAGTTTTGTTTTTTATCTTCATAGGCCAACTTGTTCATTTAACGCTACACCATTTCAAATACACTCCATAAATACTAGCTAAACAAAATTTTATCAATTTTGACGCTTATAGTTTGTGAGCAAATTCTCAACGTTCACAATTCAAGTGAGAATTGAACCTGAAAGCCGAACAGAAGATATTCATCGGATTTGAGTGCTGCATTTAATAGCATGAATTGCAATACAATATTGGCAGTATATAAAAGTTTGGTTAGTAGATAAAGACCAGTCGCATAATGTCCTGCTACCAAACTGTGAAAGAATAAAACTCATTCAAACATTGATGTGCGAATGAAACGAAACAATGCACATTTTTCTACTGAATGATTTGTTCATCGCTGCATTTCGCTGCCGTAAATGACCAAATTCAGCTATCTTCGAACAGTTGAGACATGCACGAAAGTTACAGTTCCGATATTTATGTTGAAGAATGCAAATTCAGATGAGTTCATATTTTAAAAATGCACATTCAAATGTGCTTCTAAGAGGCATTTACATACTTGTGGTGTACGAACCTGTAACACTTGAAGGCAGAAAACATAGATCGATGAGGGAATGCATCTGAAGGTGACTGCAGATCAATGAAATCAACAATTGATGCACTAAGTGTTTGAACTGCGTTCCGTTTCGTGTCTATGTCCGCAATTGCTTGTATATCGCATGCGGTAGTAATGATTTGTTGTATATTCAATCCTTAATTGAACAAACTAATAAAACTTCATTATTCCACAATAAAACCTCGAAAGTTGATCGCAAGACCAAATCTAGGAACTGAACAGCCATCTCATCAACGCGAAAGAATTTATTTCCTTCCCTGAAGAGTGAGGGTGCTGAACGAAAAAACATACAATTTGTTCTCGTGAAAAACTATTAGGAACTTCATCTATTTTTATTTTCCATTGTTATTTACGAACGGGTCTTTGGGCACAACGTGAGTTTATTGTGGTTAAAACTAAATCCTATTCATACCTGATTGCCAATTAAGAAGTCGCCACATCATGCAGGGTACCGAGAACATTAGCGCTTCAGCAATTAAAATGAATGGAACCCATTGATAGTATCCGATCTGTCGTTCTATAACAAGGAAACTGATTTTGGCATTCATACTGCTTCATTATATTCAAACAACCTTTTGACTTTATACTTCAACTTTTGTATACTCAAAGCAGAATCTTTTGCAGGATAATCATCGTTTCGTGGTTATTACAACCACGAAACGATGATGTCAAGTGTGCTCAGTTAGACCAAGGCAAACGTTCTATAACAAGGAAACTGATAACTTGCTCATGAGTTGATAGCATGCCCATCTAATTGTCAACTCTGAATAGACAGATGCCAACATTCTGAGATGATGATCTAATAATCATTTCTGGAAGCGAAATGCTTCTTCAACAAAATGTTGACCTCTCATGAAATTGTTCAGCTTTTGAGTATAACTTAGATATTAATCTATTTAAAATGCTGGGTAAATTGACAATGCTTTATGTACTTTCTCTTGCTGTCAGATCATCAGGAATGTTTTCATACATTGGTACCCAATATGTGTTTTGTATCCAACAATAACTTTCAATATATTCCTCCATACTTTCACGGGAATGCGGATTTACCCAGCATTCAATCGGTGTGCCACCATACTGAAAGAACAGCTTTTATCGATTAATTATCGAGCGATGAACAACTTCGCAATTCAAATGCAGGAAGTAAAACTGAATTCACAATGCATTCTTCGAGTTATGTCTGAATGCTCCTTTGTGCTTTCCATATTGAGACAAGTTCCAGTTTTTCAATCAACCAAGTCATTTCAAATTCTACGCGAAATGAAGTCATAAAAAAAGAAAGTGAACAAAAAATTTACTTTCTTCTGACGTTTTGTTACAAATGTTGTTGAATTAATCATTGTTTTCATCGAGGATTGCTGTTTTTTAAGAAGGGCTGATTCATTTCTCAAAAATTCATCGAGACTGATTGCTGTTTTTGATTGCTCATCAGCAAAACGATCAAAGGTTTCGTCCAAGATAACAGTACTGTGGAAAGAAAAACGAAATAGTTCTCGACATCCGTTAAAGTCGACTCCAGAAAAAATCCACTACGTGCTCATTCAAGAAATTCAAATGCATCATCATTCATTCAAACTGATTCGAAGGATTCAAGTAGCAAGTCTCAAAAGAATTCAAAAATATGGCTTTCAAATGATCATTTCAAATACTTGTTTGGCTGAGATGATGAAGCATGCAACAGCGAGCATAACCGGTGTATAATAGTGATTAAGACGATCCACAAAGTCATCGTCACATCGCAGACTCAACGATTGAATAAACGAACGTGCAAGTGTTGCATGAAAGAACATCTCTCGTCTTATAATCGAACCGCTTTCACTAGAATCAATCGATCAATCAGCAATCGTTTCATTGGCCACTAATCCCTTGATCAGTTGAAGACATCTTCAATTATTTCCATTTCGAAGTAAGGCCTGGCAATTCTTCCAACTGTATGTTTTGAACTGAAGCACGATTTTCTCGGCCACCATAAACGATAGATGCGTTTATGATGGCTTTAATTGCACATCGCAAAATAGCATGTCTAAGATATCATCTGCCTCAATTCTGAACTTCAAGCGTTCACAATCGTTTTGTTTATTTATATGGAACGTCAGAAATTTGCTCACTTCATTTCTTAAAGGAATCTCACTGTGCTCTCTAATCGCAAAACTGCATTGTTCACGTGTGCTGAATCAAATCCTTTTTAATCTTGTATATCAATTTGAATCAACAACGATTGAAAATGTATGTGTAACGTTTATAAGCAAAATGACTTATGCTCAAATAGAGGATTTCATTTAATTTGTTAGAGGATGATTTTTCGAAAATCGATCATTTTCATGCTCCTTTCGAAATTATGACTTGTGCTCGAAAGTGAATTGTTGTCATTTTTGAAATGTAGCAACGAAACGAGACGAACAAGGCGTTTCTTACAGTAGATTAGAACTCGGTGATAAGATGAAAAATTTATCATCTCATTTTGAATTAAATTTTCTGGCAAAAAAATGTTCATAATATCATGAATATCGTGTTTTTATTGTGATTATCAATGCCCAATTCACTTGCTAATGACTTTTGAAGATGCTCGGATACTTATTTCTAATGCGATCACCAGGAGTGATATTACAATATACTACCGAAACAAACTCATTGTTAACAAGAGTACGTGGATGAGTCAATAAATTTATCTCCACGAATCTCAGCATTAATGTTCATTCGAGTAGGTCACACAATTCAGGCAGTGAGAAAGCATACAAACTGTGTAAAAATATATAATTGGTTTTATGGAGTGAAATATTAACTGAAATTTTGACGATGTGCGTTCTCCGGTCTGCAATTCGAATAGTCGAACTGGATGATCATTAAACACCATGGTTCAACGATGAGAATTTTGAAAGAAGTGAATTTATACGATGCAATTTATAGGATCTGGCTGAAGCATATTTAAACACGAATAACATTCGCAAAACAGGTGGGTAATATGGCGATGCAGTGATATAAACATGTGAGCGGTTCAATCGCATCTTATTCAATCCCACGTCACATTGCTCACTTTCAATTCGTTAAGTAGCCAGTAAGGCGTATTTTCATGCTTGAAACATTACCGATGCCCTACTTTCTGGTAGAAATTTTTAGAAATCGCGTCCTCTCGTTTTACCAATCACTAAAGTTTTCCATCTATCTTGTTAATTAATCATGCAAAAAACAACGATATGTTTCTAGTAGGTGCTCTCATGCATGCCTATGAATGGAATAATTAAGCATTTACAGGCAGACAATATAAAAGTAATTTTCACTGTGATGAATATTGCACAAAGCTGCAGTAACTCAGTAACTGGTCTTAGAAGGCGTCTGATTTCTTTTGCCTTTTCTCTCGTTTCCACTAAGCAATTATTGAAACTTTAGCTATCCGAATGAATGACACATGAACATACTTAGCAATAGATTTGTGTCGTTGACTCATCTATTCGCACGAATTATTCCATTGCAACGAAACATGAAACAGTTGACGATTTGACGGCTCATCACGGCAAGCATTCAACTAAAGTATTACTTCACGTGCACGAAATCATCTTATCGGAACAAAATTTTCGCATACTCGCCGACTCTGTGCTTAATACCCATCATTGGTACTTATGCAGATCAAATAACATGAATCGATCACAAGCGTGAGAGTATGCGAAAATCATGCTGTGATTGCGCATCAGTGAATGCGATCGAGAAAGCTTATAGTTCGTTCAAAATGGATTGTTCAGAACAAATATTTATGAATAAATACATCCTGTTGGCATATATAAAGCTTTTCATTAAATATCTAATCAAACTGCCTATTACTAAAAATTTCATCTTCAAAAACGCGATAATTACGAACCAACCGGCACAGTTTTCATTGCTGGATTTGCTATGATCATATGCTCTTGCTTTTAGCTATCGAAATTACCTGGATTACCTGGATTGGCCAGGCTATCAAACGTTTATAACGTTGNAGCTATCGAAATACTAGAGCTTAAATCATTTTGTGATTGAGCCGGGCTTGCATCTGATCATAGACAGTATCCTTACCTGAACACACATGTTGTTCTGACTGATAATAATAATAATAATGATAATAGTAATAATGATGATAACAACATTAATGAGAATAATAGTAATAATAATAATAATAACAATAATAATAATGATATTAATAATGTAATAATAATCTCAGTAATAAAATAATGATAATAATAATAATAATAATAATAATAATAATAATAATAATCTAATAACAATAATAATAATAATAATAATAATAATAATAATAATAATAACAATAATAATGATAATAATAATAATAATAATAATAATAATAATAACAATAATAGTGAAAGCAATAATAACAACAAATGATAATACTGATAATGAAAATGAGAATAAAATTATTATTCTTGTCATTATTACCATAATTGATAGGATTATTAACGTTATTTTTCCCATTTGCTATAAAAGATAGGAAATGGTCAGAGGGCATGTCAAATGCAGGAAAATTCATTTCATTAACTTAATGAATAAGGTGATAAACAAATCAGAGCAGCATTTAATTAACAGCGCAATGCACACGTACTTATTTACTATACGATGACTCGTTTTGAAACTAAACAGCCATGCGGATAAGTTTCATTGACTGGTTCGATCCATACCGATTATTACTCATTGTCAAAATTAAGCTTATGCACTTCATGCGCAGTTATCGTTAAAATAAGTTCATTCGCTAACAAGTACAGTGCTCATCAGATAGAACTGTTCAATCGTTGGGAGGTAGCTAAAAGCAGATGCTGGTATTACGGCTAAGGAGAACAGTTTACAGTTTACAGAAAAGATGCGAAATATTTTCCAGGTAATCAAATTCAACTGAAATGAACGAATAGAAAAAATTCAAAAAAATTCATTACGCAAACTTTTTGTCAAATACTTACCATCTTACTTCATATTAACCACGTTTACCAGGATTTGTACGTAAAGACTGCACTCCAGTTGTTTATAATCAAAATAAGGCAATTGAATGTTTACAATCAATGTTTGTAATCAAAAACAAAATAAGGCTATTTACGATAGTTGAACATCTATAAGATAATGTAACCAAGCTTTAATATGCGCATATATCATTAGCGGTTGTGTATCGAACGGTATAGCTGCGATGATTTTAGCATGTGCAAGATTAAGGAATATCCGGTCTAGGCGAATGTGATTATTGCTGGCTTATCGCAAAACAGTGTAAGAAAATTATTCGATTCAATTTCGTTCGATTATTTTCTGCGATTTATTCAACAAAGCAATGAGCACATCAGCGAAAAATTCTTATAACAAATACACACGTTCCAAATGAATATTGGTCTGTTTCAATGCTGTCAAAATTTTACCCTTATAAACATGTCGTTTTACGATCCGACGACAACAACAGTCATAATGAACCATTTTGAAATTTGCCTGATGAATCATCTTTTATTTTAATACCAAATTTCTTGGTTGATTTCCACTCAACTTGTTACAGTCTTTGTGCTAAATGATCGAAAGTGACCACTGTGACATGCTTGGTCAACATTTTGCGTCCAGTAGGACAACTGCCTCTGAAAAACTGCCTCCTGAACAGCTTTCCCCGGGAAAACTATCCCTGGATAGTTTCTCTGGCCCCCGATAACTTACCTTGACGATATTCGTCTTCGTAAACATGAGTTCATTCAATCATTAATATCGTCATCACAATCCATAGTTACTGTAATATTATATTCTTGTTGTTAAGATTTCTATTTTCAAGTTTACGCTCAGGACTAGGCTGAGACTGAAGTTGACGCTAGAGGTGAGGCGGATGCTTAGGCTGAGGTTGATGCTTGAGCTTAGAGTGACGTTCATCTCGAGACCATGACCGTAAAGGCTGTGACTAATCGAGAAGTCCCCTGTCGCAGTTGGCCTGAGGCAAATGGTCGGCGACAGTCGTATGAGGGCAGCTGGCCCAAGGCAGTTGTTCCCGGAGGCAACTGTTCGGGAGCAGTTGCCCGGGAGCAGTTGTCCGCGGGTCAATTGTCCTGGAAGTAGTTGTCCTAGAACCATCTAGTCATCTTTAGAAAAGTAGGCACCCACTAGAATTGTTTTGTAGAAATGAAGTGGTTTCGGTGATAGTTTCGAATACTTGCAGTTCACTGTGAACAGGAGCGATACTTTAATGAAGAACTGGGAAAGAAAATGATTCTGCGGGTACTCGTTAGATGGATTAAAACTCATTAGGCAGCATCTGATGGAGAGCGAGGATATGCATGGTTCGATGAATGGCAAGAAGCGGAAACACGCCTCAAAACGAAAAGATATTATCTATTCATATTAGTCACTGCAAATTAATTGCTAGTTGTCAGGAATATTTCGCTCAGTAGGGTGATTTTATAAAAGTCAATATTTGTATGCACATTCACGTATTGTATGCACAATGATTTATAGCAACGCCATTCCAACGTTCTTATTACAATCACAACTCTATTTTATTAATGATCATATTATTCTATCACATTTGTTCTTGACGATTCACATAACAAATCCGATGTAAAACGCGATTCGAACTGATAGACAATAGTTCTGATAGCCAATTAATCACTTTGTTCTCAAACATTTACCGCATTCATTAGCCGACGACCTTTCTGAAGGATTCTGTTCCTATTTTCCTTCATCTCTTATTTTCAACTCTGTCATAATCAAAAATTAAATTCATCTGATGGTAATAATCACATTCTCTAAGTTCACTTCAATTATTGTTGTTCAATTATTTCACAAGATGACATAATCAAGATGCAAACCTACTAATTTCACTAATTGTCGTTTGGTGACTCTGCAGAGATTAAACGCCTTTCCGACGTAACCGCATTAATGAGTTGATGCAACTTCAAATTCAAATTAGCTACTGCTAACAGGCAATCATCACTAATGCAAGATGAATATTTACTCAGAAATCATGCATGCATCAATCTCAAAATAAATGAGACATCCATCCGCTTATTCACTCCATTATTGCATACCTAAGCAGTCTATCAATCACCTCACATAAAGTTCAGTTGTTCTGCATGCAAAAATTGTTCGAGAATAGAATTCAAATAATAATAAATGTGGAGGAAAGAAATCGCTGCACTAAACGATAAGCAATCCATTACGTTTCATCACATTAAACCACATAATATGACCGCATATTCAAAGACGCTAATATAAATAACCACATATCTATCTATAAGACATCCACTGCCTCATCATCAATATAACAACAGTAGTAGTAATAATAGTAATAGTAATAATAGTAATAGTAATAATAGTAATAGTAATAATAGTAATAATAATAATAATAATAATAATAATAATAGTAATAATAATAATAATAACAAAAATAATGATAGTGACAGAAATTATAATAATGATAGCATTAATAAGATGAACAATATTAATTCCTTGTAGCGGATTGAGTCAATCAAACAAATCAGAAAAAAAATCGAATATTTAAACGGAAAGAATTTCGCAAGTGATGGTGCCGTAATTCAGCAATCGTAAAACAATATGTTGGTTATTATCATACATGAACACACTCGACGATGGTCACTGAATGAAGCAGCACAAAACAATTGTGAAGCAGAACGAATCGTGAAATTATACAAACTTTCATTTCCTACCTGCAGGTGTACAAACAGTCCTATATATAAAGGTTCATTAAAGAGTTTTGCTAAATTTATTTTCGTTGAAGAATCGAAGGACCAGTTTTTGGTACAAGTTAGAAAGTTTACATTATTAACTTTGATGGCGTGAAAATCTATTTGGTTCTGATTTTTCAGAGGGCACACTCTGTTTCAGACGAGTGATTTGCACGCTTTAATTGTAAGGTACAATGGATGTTGGCTGAACGAACTTAATTAAAGCTTTACTTTACAACGCAGTCGTGTTTGACGGAGAATAAATCTAAAATGCTTCTATTATTTGTTTGGTTAGCGTCATTTCATAATGGAATATTCGGCAATAATAATATAAACACAATACTGACATCTGATTCAGTTCAGTGATTATTTTCTGTCCATTGTACTCTCAAATCAGTCATTAAAACATCTTTTGCATCATTTGATTTGAGCACTGCAGCATAAGAAGAGAGATCACTCTAAATCTCAAATGCATGGAATTTACCGTTATAATAAATTCGCTCAGCTCGGTAAGACACCTTCAGAAAAACAACTATAGATGTAGAACTAAGCATATATAATTTTAGATCCGTTTACAACACACAATTTTCTGATATCAGAGAATCTACTTTTACCGATAATGTGTAGTAACAAACCATTGTTGTCCTGAGCAAACTTGAGGATACGGATATTGAAAATGGTGCTCATGATATCCTCATCCTAGTGAATTAATGACAAGCTTGTAGAACAAAGATGAAGTGTTTGACGGTATAATAAATACGCTCAGCTCAATGGGACATCATGAGATATTTAGCTATACCTGTGAAACTAATCATTATCCGTAGACAATTGCAGAAAACTGATAACGAAGAACCTATGCAATCTGATAACTAGAAAAAGCTTGAGACTGTGGCTGTCTTCATGCGAAGGTTAGAAACTCGTTGATGTCTCATGATAAATACAAAACAGTTATTAATTTAACGTGGCACTCTCCTAAGATAAGAACAGTTAAGGTCGTACATTCTCAATTGCTAGATGGTTACGTAAAATTTGTGGAATTGAATGAATTCATTAATCAGTTGAATAATCACTTCATCAGCATGCAAAGAAGAACGAAATACATAAGTCAACCATTTAATCAAAGGCACAATGAATTTATTACATGATAAAGTATATTTCTACACATATCAACACTTTCATACAATATCGTCATTATTCAATTATTATCTAAATATTTACACGGATGAATATCATCGCTGGACATTGATCATCGATCACGAAAGAACCACTCGGGTGGTTCAACGAAAAAAACTCCGCCATCCATAGCACAATAAGTAGGACATACCTGAAGAAAAGTCCATTCTAGAGATCAAACCACAAACTAGCATTGCCAAGTTAATGCATTCTATCGAAGTCCTTATGTCCAATTTCAAGCCATTTACAAACCCCATCAGTCAAACTTATGCATCTCAACATATACTCCGTCTCTGAATGACATTCTGGATCACAAATTCAGCGATTATTTTGCATAGTACGCTTACATTTAATTCATTCACGAGTCATCTTTTTATTATGTTAAAGGTGGACGGTCCGTTAACTTTTAGTGTTCAGATCTTATTAACAAGAGTTCGTTGGATTTCAAAAGCCATTATTAGAGCTAAGATGAGACAAAAAGAAAATGTTGAATAATGTTTTTAAATATACCCCTTTTTCACCGTCAGGGCCAGGATCACCGATGGGTCCGGGAAGTCCAACCGATCCTCTTTCTCCAGGAAGGCCGTTACGTCCGCCCGGCCCTCGATTGCCAGCTGGTCCTTGTGGCCCATCAATACCTGGCATTCCCTTTGGACCTAAAACATTTCTTACACTTGCGAAAAAGTAACTCTAAAAATCGAAGCATCTTATCACGCTAATCGAAACTCATTAATCTAATCTTTCAGCAATAAACTTCTCAAAATTATCACTTAGTTACCTGAAGGCCCCACCAGTCCAGCATCGCCAATAGGTCCAGGTGGACCTGGTATGAATGGACTTGGTATAGCATCGAAACCTGGTTCACCTACATCACCGTCAAGGCCAGGAATTCCCGGTGGACCCCTTGGGCCGGGTGGCCCTAGTTTACCATCTTCACCGTCCTTCCCATGTGCACCCATAACACCCAATGAACCTTTATCTCCAGGTGGTCCCTGAATTCAATGTTGTAATATAGTTGCATAAGATATCATTTGAATGAATCACACGAATGAAAATAGTAAACAAATAAACAGAAAATATGCATGAGTGGTAAAAATCTATTCTTGAAAATTTAATCACAACGTTTTGAGGTGATTAGAAACTAATTTCAAAAAGAAAAAAACTAAGTTTCAAAAAATTTTGCGTAACTCTTCGTTGAAATTGAACAAAGACTAGTGAGTAACGAAGCTCAACAAGAACCTGCAGTCCTGGATATCCTTGTTTACCAGGAGGACAAGGATCTGGACACATTTTTTTCAAATCCACGGGTGGATCGCATGGAATCCTAGCAGGCATACCAGGTGCGCCAGGTGCTCCTCTTGAACCTTTCAAACCCTTTCGACCTGGAAGGCCTTTTGGTCCAGGTGGTGCTGTGCAGCTGAACAAAAGGTGTTATATTATGACATGCTAAGGTATCACTCAATTTTGCATCGTTACGAGAATGGCATTTTAAAATATCATCGAATGTTGTCAAGATATATTTTCAACCAAAATCAAAATTGCTACTCGATTTTGTACAACGTATAACACAGTGGTTCTCATTGGGCATAAAATTACTTATTTTGGATAATTTGGAGGTGTCAAGAGGTAATGAAGGGGATCGGGAAATTAGTATTTCGTGCAGTTGTTATGTTATGATAGAACGTCATTGTGATGGTGTTTTTCAATTCGGATATGTAAATACGGTTAGTTGGTGGCAAAACTCTTCATTCTCCTATTTTCTGAGTATCATTACCTCGTCCGGGCCTAACAGGGCTTTCATTCGTTTTAACAGGGTTTTCATTCTTTTCCTTACTGTTATAACTGCTCTCATAGCTTTTACCACCAAAAGTGTTCTCTTTTGCTAATTTCTCATTCATTTCACTCAACAGTTAAAGTCGAATTCTCATTCTATTAAAAGCACTCTATAAATGATCATTTGATTGTCGAACACTGTTGAGCAATAATATTTGATTGCTGTATCGTTGATTTCGGCTGTCAACACTTATCAACGTATCCAGTAAATAGTATATGCTACAGAATAAGAAATTGATTCGAACTGTAAAACGAAATGAGACGAAGTGAATGATAAAAAGTCATGAAGAGAACGGTATTCTCATGCAAGAGCTATGAGAGTGAATAGAACACGTCTGAAAAGAATGAGAATCTATGTGAATCAGTATGAAGTGAGCGTATTATAGATAATAGCTTTTCATGCAATCATAATCAACTGCAGTAATGAGCAACACAACGGTCTAGGACACTAATTGCTTTCAAGCTGCTGAGAAAGTTCGGGAACGGTTTTTCGTTTATTCCTGACGTTATACGTAAGAATATCAAGGGAGGTAAAGACGGCCTGCCAGATCATCAAAAGGTGTAATAGAGCACCCAAACGTGAGAGCCACTGGTATAACAGAAGTATGATTTCAATTACCTTAGGAATAGTTTTAAAATTGTTTCAAGTTACAGTTGTGATTACTGAAACATGGTTAGGAAAGGGATTTTATGATTAGAATCTTTATTGAGCCTCTCAATCACATTTACAAGTACCATTTTTCACTGAAATGTTTTTATTGACAACCTGCACTGTGGATCATCGGTTCTAGATGACGTACTGGATTTACTTGTCGCACCTACGGCACGATCGCGCCAATCTACCCTTGTAATTGTTCCTTTCTCCTTAATTACTGTAAGTTTAATACAGAAACACTCAACTAATGCATCATTACGAAATCCACCTCAGTCTGCAGCAAAATTGGTTCATCTGATTAGCATGAATTTTGATTGATTTTATTTACAAATTAATGCTCTTCAGCAAATTACATAGAATCATTCGGTTTTATGGAAGTATATTACACTCACTCAAAATTACCATAAAATGTCGATTATGAAGCATATTTTACGTATTTCAAATAAGAAACATGCTACATTCATTGGCTCTTATAAGATGGAAGGGAGAATTCAAGGGTGCTGAAAAGGGAATTGAATCGATTGGCAAATCAATCAATGATGATATTTCTCTTCGTTTTTTCCTCCATAATTGTTTTCAGAATGTTTGTTCGATCACGGGTAGGTGACTCATCTGATATCAGCAGTAAAGTTCTTCGTCATTGGATCAGTTCCCTAACTTTCTTCCCAAAAATGTGACGGATTGCTAAAGAGATGGTGGTGGGATTACAGTCACGCGAATCGTTGAACAAAAGGAGGGGGAGGGGGGAAGGGAGGAAGCGACAGAATGGCGTTTTCATGTAGCCCAAAGTGGATAAGGAGCGTAACAGCATGAAAACCGCTAATCCAACCCAACACAACACTGAGTTCTTCGTTTCACTTGGTCATATTTCAACAGTCAATAGTAAAGAAAAGGGGAACAAAAACAGTGAAATGAAAGTAAAAATATCTCACATTTGAAGTATTATTAACTGAACGTTTTGTGCGATTATTGAGATCTACCTCTGAAGTGTTGATCACTTCGAGCATCGTACTCTGTTCGAAAAAAAAACTCTTCAGATATTCTTTCATACAAATCAAATTCTGGTAAACTCTTGCATATTTATAAACGCGATCGAGTTTACAAACAACTACATTTCGGCAAAATTAGTATTGAAGCAACTGTTTTGCATTTCAACTGATGATTCAAGCAACTCATTATTGTTATCAATCTTATTGTTACCTTATATTTCTGCATCACCCACCCACGATGATAATAAAAGTAGTAGTAGTAGTGATAGTAATAACAATACTAATAGTAATGAATAATAATAAATAACAATAATAATGAATAATAATAAATAACAATAATAATAAGTAACAATAATAATAAATAATAAATAATAATAAATAACAATAATAATAACAATAATAATAACAATAATAATAATAATAATAATAATAATGATAATAATAATGATAATAATAAT